TATTTTGATTGTTACTGACATTAAAATTGTAAGTGAAAGCTGATTATTTATTGCATAAATGTAAACTTTTAACTTCAGATAATAGAGCAGGAACTTCGAAATGGCTGTTATAATGCAGTCGGCAGCAAATGCCGCGACATTTAACTTGTAATAAAAAGTGCATTTTACTCACCTATCAGCAAGACTGCCCCAGAAGGGCGCTGACAGGAATTCGACAAATGGCCGGGATCCTATAAGAAGACCACACTGCCCTGGGTTTATACCCATCTGCTTGAAGTACACACCCATTAATGGGAATAACGAGCCGAAAGCCGAGTAGAAGAAAAAGTAAAATGTCTTGACAGTCAACAGTTCAGAATCAACAGACCCACAGAGAAACTCCATAATGTCAGACCGGCCGCGAATCTTATGGGTGGATTCCTTCGGTTGTGGGTATTTTTCTGGGTCCACCTCTCCTAAAGCTTCAGGGTCTACCACAGGACGGACTCCTGGTGCTGTCATGGGAATACGTTGTTGCTGTCCTACATAGCCATCCTCTTCAGAAACCATCCTATCCATTCCAACCATTGTTACCGCCTGCTTCTGGACCACTAACCGAGCTTCAAGACAACGCCAGCGAGAGTGTAAATCAATACCATAGCAAAAGTGCTCTACCCACAATTCCAGAATAGGTCAGCCCAGCTCCAAATCAATACTTCCACCCACGCTTGAAATTTCATGTCCCGTTTGCCCAGCCTCAGGTTATTAAAATATTTTGCTTCAGTTTGTCATGTTAGAAGGGATCAGTAGAATCTGGTAGTATATTTCGGAGTATTCTGAAAAGTCCATTCTTCATCACATAATATTCACAAACGAATTCCGCAGTTAACATAATATGGTCAGTCACCTAGTCAGTAATGCTTTTTTTTGAAGTAAGTACGTCTATACGGAAGGGTCATTCGACAGCTTTACGAAGACGTGTAAGATCCATACCAACAATGAATAAATATGGAAAAAAGCCAACCAACCAAAAAACATGTATAAAGGGAATATTTAGATTAAAATATATAATAAAATTCAGGTCAATACACAAACTTTATTTAGATGTTAAAATTTAAATGTTAAAATTTAAATTTGCGCCATTCATCTCTATAACGATGTTACAATAGAGCGCCTTCATTCACTTCACTACATGTTTCGATGCAAAGCATCATCTTCAGGTGTTATCTTTTAAAACTACTTTATATTATAATGCATGTCTTTCAATTTATTCGTCCGTTTTGTTCATTATTGTAGCATGTGTTCCGCTGATCCTCCCGTTTTACGCATCTTATGTTTGTTTTGATTATTCATAAATCGTGTTGTATGGTGTATCTACGTCTACCTTAAACGGAATATTTAAAATAAAGCTAATATATAAACTTCCTTTCATTATATTTATTGCCTAAATATAATTTAAATACAAAGACGTATTTACATCAGATTCTCCGGAACCGTGGTTCCACTGTCAATTTATTTTATTTCTCATTTAGCAGTCCGCCAGTGTGGAAGCAAGGGTAAATGCTGCTTTTGGTTTGGAAGGGTTGATCAATCCTGGCGTACGTGATAAAGAACGACTCCATAGTGCAAAGTCCTTAACGAGTTATTTTTGGCCCAACTGGTCAACAAAATTCACTATTTTTTAAGGGACTTGAAGGTTCATTACAGTGTACACTGAGACGGTACAAGGGATCTGGTAGCCACCATAAATAGTTCTTTTACAAGAGAAAATAAATTAATTGAATTGAAGAGTATCTTGCATCGTGTATAATAAGGATACGATTATGTGATAATTTACTGGGTATAATAGATTTTAAAATCGTCGTTATGTACACTACAAATAAATAAAATTGAATGGATTTTGGTTAATTTACAAATTGCTGCTTGAAATATTAATTATTAGGAAGGCATTTGTGTGTACATATTGCCACACTCATTCACTGAATAACATACTGAAAATAGTGCCAATTGTGAGCACGAAATGAAGGGCGCTTCATTTCCCTGTAATAACTCCATGGGTTAGAAAAGCTGATTTTACGCTCAGCTAATCAAGACATTCCCTGCCTTTTCGTGTAGTGTGTATCGTTTATTATCCAGACCACAGAGCCAGAAGTATCCGAACATTAAAATCAGTATCTGGTGATATGATCCGTGGTATACTATAACATTTGTTAACTGTTGTAATCTGTGACTGATACTTGCACAGAGATCATACTATCATATTGATTGCCTGTGAAAAGAAATGAATAACGATCTTTGTATTTGTGGAACATCAATTGCAAGTGTTAAAATGTTATTTGTATGTACTTTTGCCGGATTATTTTTGTTGGGTAATTAATGTGTTAGAAAATTATAAAGTAACGTAGACACTATCTTACTTCCGAACCTTGGTTTTATATTTTTAGGTGTTATAATAAAATACAACCAATCATGGCATCCAGTCTTTCAAAAAAGGACATTGAAGAAATTAAGCCGTATGTAGATAAAACGGTTCAGAAGTTTTTGGGTTTTAGTGAACCTTCGTTAGTGACGGCAGCATTAAATTGCCTTACATCAGGATATGACAGGCGGAAAACCTCAAGTAAGTACACTGTAGTTTAAGCTGAAAGTTGGTGAGCAAATATTAAGTGTGAGAAGAGATACCTCAATGCAAGAAGGATAAAGTTAAAAACTCCAGTTATAGTATGGGTTAGAGGCGAATGAGAAAGGGGTGTGTATAATATATACCTTATTCTTACTAATGACAATTCTGTAAGCTCTATATATCAGAGTAGAATGATGCATATTTGTATATTGTGACAGTCGTATATTCTGTAGAAGGTGCTTTGACATTCAACATGCAGGGAAGTTACTGTGTGTGTGTGTGCAATGTGGATGCAACATAATGGAAATTTTTTATGTGAGGTTTCAACCTTTAAATGTTGTGCAGGATAATGTTCTTCCTTATGTGAGATTAATGTTAATCAATATCTTTTCCTTGGTATGAATAATGTGAAATATATTTGGTGGTATGTAAACTGAAGTAGTTTTGTGAATACTGTGAACTTTGTAAACTTGATAAAGGTATTATGTAGCGCTTAATTAGAGTGTTTATTGCTTCAGATAAGTTGGCATCTCTGCTTGATGAGAAAAAGGCTTCTAGACTTACAGAACGTATATTTGATTTGGCCGAAGAGTTGAAATCAGCTCAGCGAGCATCTCGGAAACGACATCATGAACACGAACTAAAACAAGAAGATAAGGAAGTCTCAAAGAAAGCTAAGACAAAAGCTAACATGGAACCTGAGGTGACAACAATTCCAGCCCCAGGAAACCCAAGTCCTGGTCAGCTCACAACATTGCAGGTTAAAACTGCATTCATACAGAATTTTATCATTATAGACTTTTATGTATGTTGTGGCTAAAGCTGCAGCTGGTCTTGAACTCAAGACTTTTGGCACAGAAGAATCTTAGACCTCCATGTGGCTACATAACAGAATATTAAGGTTTTAAAACTATTAATTGCTTTTTTCAGATAAAAGAAATGATGGCAAATGCCCAGAAGATGATAGAGGAAAGAAAGCGTGCTCTAAATGCTCTGCGGGCGGATGAAATTCCACCTGTTCGTAGTTTCACTTTCCATAATGATGATGCTTTTACTGTTCATCCGAGTTTGTATGGTTTACCTCCCACATCTATTCCATCACTGTTGCAACGTGGAGAAACAGACAAGGCCAGAAAAATTGCTCAGCTTCAGGTAGTGAAGGCAACACAGTTTTAATACCAATTTCTCTAGAAAGTATGTTTATATATTGAAGTAAAATCTTTGATTTTCAATGTTTTACTTATATGAAGTGTAGTAAGATGTGAATTATTATGATTAGTGTATTTGAAGAGTAAGTGGAAATAGTCATGAGCTATTTGAAAGTACCACCTCCTTATTTCAGTTCAGATTTTGAGAAAAGGATACATGGAGCTTCAGGCAGGTTTCAGCTGTGTTATACCTACTTTATAAATTCTGATTTTCCAGTTATGTTATGTCTGAAGTCACTAGATTTCTGGAGTTTTGATAATTATTCATTTACCTGTAATTTGTTCCTTTCTTTATTTCTTCATAATAAATGCTGAAGCTTGTCAATTGGAGTGATGATGTTCAATAAAGCAAGAAGTGTATAATTTAATAAATTTCTTTCATTAAATTATTATTTCATTAAACATCATATATGAATTATGTGTTGTCACCTTTGTTCTTTTAACACTTAATTTTATGTGTATATTTTTGTGAATTACTTGTTGCTTTCCATTTTATTTTTTGAGTCAAGAATGAATTCTTATTTACTTATGCTACATTCAAATGTGCATGTATGTAGCATGATTATTATATACATGAATTGTAAATGCTGATTGTTTATTATTCACAATATGCATTAATATAAAATATCTGTTTAAATAATCCTTGCTGTCTTGAACTTAAGGAATATTTATTAAACATGAATTATTTATTAAGTAAGTGAGTTGTATTGGTTCGGGATTCCTAACAGTTTGTAACCTTTTTAACAATCTGTCACCCACTGAATGTGGATTGTTTCTTTTTCAGGCTCAAATTCAGTCCAAACTTTCAACAGGAATGTTAAGCCTTCCTCCTATTCGACCACTCATTCAAGACAAACCTACTCCATTGATTTTGGATGATGAAGGCCGTACTGTAGACATCACAGGCAAAGAAGTCCAGCTGACACATGTAGTTCCAACCCTTAAGGTAAAACTACTATTACGATATACAACATTTTATTTAAAAAATGGAAAAGGTGAACTCAGTAGCTGAAGCTAAAGTTCTACAGTTGCAGGTATGGTCCTGAATTTCTCTTGTACTACGTTTCTTATCAGTTGTGTTTAAAAAAATTTCTTTGAAAACCATTCTGAAATCTCTATGTGGTGAAAGGGTGAAAGAATGCTACATGTCTTCTTGATAGATATTCATTCAAAATATCAAGGTTCTGTATACTCTTATTCTTGCCCTGAAGATCAATAGTTTTCCAATGCAAAGATGTTAAAGGTAAAATATTTGCAGTAGGTGTTTTAAAAGATTGATGAAAATAGTTCTCAGCATTGTGTACTTGCTGGCACACTTGTTGTAAAGGCAAAGTTGTATTTATGAATAAGCACTTTGCAATGAAGACATATAGAGGAGTTTAGATAGTTTCTCACTTTCTTAATAATTGCACTAGATGAGGTGAGTGATCACTTTCATACTCTGGTCACTATATTCCTGGGGAAATAGCTCCTGGTACGCATTGTTACACATATAACAGTTTCCATAATATATTAACTATCTGCTATCATCTGATAAATACTTGCAGCCAAATATATTGTATGATAAAATCACTCAGAATTGCCAAGTTCCTTTTTTGACATGTGAAAGAAGTTTGTAGTTCGTCATGGTTCATCTTATAGTCTTGATATGTTTCAGATCTACTTTTGATTTTGGTAAATATGTTTAGAATGCTGTTTCAATACAAGAAGATATAAAATGTTTTAACTACCACGTCTTTCTTAGGCTAACATCCGAGCAAAGAAACGTGAGGAATTCAGGCAACAACTACAGGAGCGAGTTGTTGAGGATCTGTCAGAAACACATTTCTTTGATCCACGCATTGGGATGAAGTCTGCTGTTCGTAACAAAAGGGCACTTCGTTTCCATGAGCCAGGCAAGTTTCAGCAGTTGGCCGACAGAATGAGGATGAAGGTATGTGCCAATAACTGAAGATGTGACTGCCCAGATGAGGGTATTGGCACTGAAGTTCAGTTCTAGACAATGCAGTTTTCATAACGTGATAAAATTAACATCTATTTTATTGACATTTATTTGAAACTTATCACCCCTATGGGAAGACAGAGGAAACTGATCCTGTTAAAATATTAATGGCATATTATTAACATATTAGTAGCCAGGTATCCATTTACTTTATACATTATTAAGAATTGCTCATCAATGTTTACAGTAGTTTAGATTTTACAAAGGCAGATTTATCTCTTTGCCAGTCAAACAGTTCATTCTGACCACACAGATTATAAAGTTTCAGAACATAATTCTGCACATTGTGGAATTGGCAGTAGAGTTACCACTACACAATTGTGTGACCACAGCATTGTCACAGGCAGCATGAAGGATGAATTTATTTTCTGGGTATCGAACAGCACTATCAAACCAAGATTGGGTGCCACCATGCTTTTTTTCCTGGGGAGTGAGGAAAACTGAAAAATTAACCAGCTTGATGATTCAAAACCTATGGTAGCTTATGCAAATAGGATGAAACCAGTAAAGTGAATGGCTTAGTAATAAACGAGCACATCAAGTAATAAAAAATCTGAAATTCTGCCACTAGTAAAATTTACAGTTTGAAAACAGTATCAATCCTACTGAGATATACTTGAAGTTATAGAATACAATGAAGGTGATAAAAAGAACAGTTGTAAAATATATGAGTAAGTGTAATCAGTTCCCAGTTTTTTATTACATGCAGAATCAGTACATTAAACAGTATATTTTAATAGTATTTTCTGTAATTTAGATAAATTCTCGTTTACAATATCTTACAGTAGCATGAAGTCCCTGTTGACAAGCAGTTTAAGAGGACTTCACATAACTCATCTACACTGATTGTTAAGATCACTTAAATTATACATCATGGCAACCCATGAGCTCATGATGATTAATGTTGTGTGATTCCAAATTATGTGCAGGTTAAATATTCAGAAATGTAGGTAATTTTTCAAGAAATCGTTGGTTTTTATCAAGTCTGTATGATGTATTTTGCAGTGTGTATTTATGCATTTATAAATAACTCATCCTTCAAGGTTTATAATTCTGTAGTCCAATTACTAATGTTATGCTTTTCCCTTTGTAACTTTATATTTGGTAAGTGCTGTCTCTCAGTTTCTCCATCTTCTTTGTGTATGTCAGTTATATAGCATTGTGAAGGGTGAAGCTAATCATAAGATTACTGAATGAAGCAGGTGGTCCAAGGAAACTGCGTAAGGCACTGGGTTAATTTTGTTTTGCAGGCTCAACTGGAAAAGTTGCAGAATGAGATCTCACAAATTGCCAAGAGGACGGGTATCACATCTGCTACCAAACTAGCACTGATAGCACCCAAAGCTGAACACCGGGAAGAAGAAATTCCTGATGTTGAGTGGTGGGACTCTGTAATTCTCACAGAAGAAAAGTATGTTTATCAAGTAGGATGTGAAACTGACATGTTACGTTCATGTTTAGGAATTGTTTACAGTGACAAAGTGAATGGC